CCCAAAAAAACCAGTTAATTTGCAAGATAGCAAAAGTGAGAAAAGCTTGTACTAGAAGCAGACATTTTTTACCACTTGAGGGAGGACTGTTACTAAATAATCTGCTAAGTAGATTGTTGAGTCTAGTCCTCATCCCTTGAGGAGAAATTATGTGTGTGATCCGTAAAAAAGAGTTTGAGGACAGAGTTCACCAAAAGGCCTGTGAGGTAGAAATTGCCTGACATATCTTTAGTGATAGACAGATCTAGTCTACAAGCTTCTAAAATAGAACAATTGTATGAAAAGTTTGCTTAGAACCCTTTTGTTCTACTTTGCTATTTAAAGGACTTGAAGAACCTCAGAGATAGAACATCCTTCACTGATATTTGGTTATGTAGGGTGATTCATCCATGAAACTGTACTCTATCAGGTAAGCATCTTGCTTAGAAAATGAATTGCCAAAACTACATATTTCATATCTCCAGTGCTGGCCTTGGTTGTGCAGATTCAGAATTTTATGTTTATTATTGATTTACATTCAAGATTTCCTTTGTTGTAACTTCAGTTAAAATAGGGACCCTTGAAGAAAAAAGGATTTAAGATGTTTAAGTATATGTTTGCATCAGCTTAATTTGTGCTAACATATGTATATAGAAAGGCAGTCTCCCTTGGAGACCCAGAATGGTGCAGTGGTTTGGGCATTGGACTATGACTCTGGAGAGCAGAGTTTGAATTCCAGCTCAACCATGAGAACTCATTGGGTGACCTTGGGCAAGTCACACTTTCTCAGCCTCAGAAGAAGTAAAAGGCAAATCCTCATCTGAACAAATCTTGCCAAGAAAACTCTGTGATAATGTCTTCTTTGGGTCACCATAAGTCAAAAACAACTTGAAAGCACATAGCATCAGCAAAATCTCCTTTGATAAATGTTTCTTTGCAGTGTTCTGTTAGCTAGACACAAGAAAACAAATCTGAATATGATTTTGTAGCAGAACACTTACTTTGTATGCAAAGGTGCAAAGCCTAGTCCTAAGCAACCCCAGTTAAATGACTCTGGTAGCATGAAAGACCTCTTTCTGAGATCCTGCAGAGCCACT